CTGAGCTATATCCCCCAGCCCTTTTTATTGTACTTTTTTATTTTGAGATAGGCTCTCTCTAAGTTACCTAGGTGATCTTCCTGTTCTTGCTACCTAAATGCTAGTATTAGTCTTTGAAGCCAAGATGCCCCTATGCATTAATCAGAAAGCAGTTATTTCTAGGGTGCAATTGACCCAGATTCTCATTTTTCACCTGTTGCTAACTCTATTAAATCTTGGGAAATTCCCTTTAATTCTCTGTGAATGGAGAAGTTTCTGTTACATCTGCTATAGAAACATTGTGGTCTAATACCCTAGGTTTCCAGGACAGCATTCCATCCCTGCACACCTTATATAACAACACCTCCCTTCCCCGTCCATTCCAAGGACATCCAGATGCCCTTTTGATAGGGCAAGAGCTAGTACAGCTGTGCTTTGCCATAGCCTCCAGCAGGGCTTCAGGAAAGGATGAATTTCATTGCTCCTGCAAGTTTTACTGACACAGAAGCTCATTGTTTCCGCTTTGAGACATTTCAGGTGGAGCTCTTAAAATTTTCATTCTGGGTGTAGATCTCTTAGTCACTCTGGCACCACAGGTACTGCAGACAGCTTGGTGACAAGAAGTGCCACAAGATAACCAGGCACCCAGCAGGACAAAACTATGTCAGAATCCTTTGCAGTTCTCCTAGTGAGAGAAAATGGACTGATTTGCTTTGCCGGTCCCCTGCTACCTCCCTCCCTTTCACCACGCAGGGGACAGGCAAGAAAATCAGCGCTCTCTCTCTCTCTCTCTCTCTCTCTCTCTCTCTCTCTCTCTCTCTCTCTCTCTCTTTCTCTCTCTCTCTTTTCCTCTCTCTCCTCCCTCTCTCTGTGTTAATTTAAATGAATTCATTATTTATATGAATTTTATTGAAGCTTCTTCACGTAAGATAGTAAAAAAATCACTTCAGATAAGAGATTTCCAATGACTTTAAAGAGTTTAGTCACTGTATTTCTCTTCAGGATGAACTGCAACTTCTCCCTTGACAAGGAACTGAGCGCACTGCCACCCTTTGCTCCTCACATCAGCTGGAGGACCTGGCCCCTCGCCTCACACAAACAAGATGAGCAGTGTCGTTGGGCACAACGTCAGAAATCCACACAGAACCTCAGAATTTTAAAAGTATCAAGTGCTCATCAAATATTTTGGGTGAATAAATCATGATTGAATGTTACTTATATTTCTTTTCTTTTTTTTTTTTTGGTACCAGGAATTGAACTCAGGACCTTGACCTTGCCAGGCAGGCACTATACCACTGAGCTATATCCCCAGCCTTATATTTCAGGAAAAACTCAGAAGAAATGGAGTCTCTCAAAGCAGAAAATATACTGGTTAGGATGGAAAAGTACTAGATAGCACTGAAAAGGTATTGTTAAATTTGAAGACATAGCTTAAGAAATTGTACAAAATAAAACCAAAAACAAAAATTGAACATAAAACAGAGAATTATTGAGCTATGGGACAAGTTCAAGTGATTAAATACAGATGTAGCTGAAATCTCTGAAATTTGGGGGCATAGTGACACAAAAATATTTGAAGACATCATGATAAATAAATATAAAATGTAATGAAAACTATAAACTCAGAAGCCAAAGTTGCCCTGTAAACCTCAAACACAGAAAACACGGAGGAAATGGCATCAAGGCAGGTCATAAGCAAATTCCTTAAAATCAGAAATAAATAGAAAATGCTAAAAAGAAGGAAATACATCCCATACAGAAGAACGAGATAAGCTGACAACAGATTTCATTTCTCATGAGAAGCAATGTAAGCTAAAAGAAAATCTTTAAAGTACTGGGTGGTCGTGTGTGGTGGTGCATGCCTGTGATCCCAGCACTCGGGAGGCTGAGGCAGGAGGATCATTGCGAGTTCAAGACCAGCCTGGGCTACAAAGTGAGCTCGCGGCCGGCCTGAACTGCACAGCAAGACCCTGTCTCAAAAACACACACACACACACACACACACACACACACACACAAAGTACTGGTGGAGGGAGGGCAATCAAATAGAATTCTATACGCAGTGAAACTATGTTTAAAAACTGAAGGCAAAATGTTGGGGACCACTACAAAGTGGCTCTGAGCTGAATTTAATATTAACCAATTGGCTTTCCATGTTTATTTGTGAGTTGTCTGAAGCTTGGGCACCTTGTCTGCCACCCCAATTAACTACAAGGAGACTGCAGCTGCATACATCTCCTGCTATGAAGGCCTTCCTGGAGATAACATAGTTCTCCTAAATTAACATAATGTATTACTTGGAAAAGTCCTGTCCAGATTCTCTCCTTTTCTTGACTATCTTCCTCCTTTGTTTGAAAACTAAATAAATACAGGCCATCCAGAGAAGTCTTGGGCTAAACTCAGAGAATATCGAAGCTATAAGAGAGTTAGTCCCTCCTGGAGCCCTACAATCATTTCTATTGTCTCATTTGTGTAAGTGTTTGCCGTCCACTCACTTGGGAGACTGCGGGCCTGATTAGCCTGCAATAACTTACGGTTATTTAACCCAGTTTTTGATAGCAAAATGCTTCAGACATAAAAAGCTGAAAGAATTCATCACCAGCAGACTTGTACTACGAAGATATGTTAAAGGAAGCCCTTCAGGCCGAAGGAAAATAATACCTTCTGGTATCATTTATTGTTGTAAATAAGAACAAAGCACACCTGATATGGTGATTACATAGAAAATGTAAAGATTTTTTGTTATTATTTAAATTACGTTGAAAGATAATTGACCATTTAACACAAAATAATAACAATGTATTTTGGGATTTATAACATGGGTAGAAGTAAGTTATTTACCAACAATAACAAAGGTTAAGTGGAAGGAATGGAAGTACTGTTACAAGATTCCTTTACTGTACATTCTGTGGAATAACATCACTTGAACGTAGATTGCAATAAGTCAGATGGACACTGTAAACCCCAAAATAAAACATGAAAGAGATATAGTAAGTAAACTAACAAGTGAGATAAAGTGGAATCACAGAAAGTACAAAAGAAGACAGAAAAATAAGAAATACATACTAATAATCCTACTAAAGGTCTGACTTAAATGTTCTAAGCCCTAACAGATAGAGATTATGAGATCAGATTTAAAAAAGCAAGACCCAACCATATAGCACCTAACAAGAAACCACTTTAATATAGAATACAAGTTGATTAATATTAAAAGGATGGAAAAGATATAGTGTGATAACACTAGTCAAAAGAAAGCCAGAATGGCTATATTAACATTAAATAACAGAGATTTAAAGCAGAGAACATTAATGAGGGTAAAAATTACCATTTTATGATAATAAAAATTAGTTCATCAAGTAAATCAAGTTCATCCTAGACATTTATAAATTTAATAAAGATCTTCAAAATGCATGATGCAAACATTTCTTAAACTACAGTGCATGAATGACAATACACTATTTTGCCACTATAAATCTAACCAGGCAACCAAAGTAAAGGCTTAAAAATTAGTTGTTGGTGATTGAGGGAATGTAGGTCAGTTAGAGCACTTGCCTAGCATGTGTGAGGCCCTGGATTCAATCCACAGTGCCACAAAAAAGTTGCAGCTGATAACTCGTTTTCTACTCTATACCAGTTACATTCTAATATATATCAGGTCCTTGATATATAGTACCTTATATCTAGATGACAACCTTGTTATGGAGGTAGACATTAATTTTGTTTTACAGACGAGAAAACTGAGGTGCAAATAAATTCAATAATTTGCCTAGAGTTACATAGCTACTAACTAGTGAGCTGAAATGAGGCTTATCTGACTCAAAATTCCCTCCTACATTTTCTATGAAATGCATAGTGCCCAGTCCCTACTCCCTTACAATAATAAAATTGCATTGATGGCTATTATTGCTGAACCTATAGGACACAATTCTACCACAGTTCTGTAAGATACACTGCTAACTCCCCATTGCAGAGGCAATGGCTTGGGATGAGCCTGCAGTAGTGCTGGAACTAGAACAAATCTGTCTATGGTTATCAGGCTAGTCTGAACTGCGTCACTCACTGGAAAGAGTCCAGATTTCACACGTGTTTCATTCATTCATTTAACAAATCTTATTCCATCTCTATGTTCTTTGAGGGATTAAGAAGCTAATAAAAGGTTCCTGCCTTCAAGGAGCTTTCAATCTCCAGAATTCATGATAACCACAGAGGAAAATCCTAAGGATGAGAAAGGGCTTAACCCTTAGAAAATGAAAAGGGGGAGACCAAGGGAAACAAACAAAAACCCACAAAACACACACCAGTTCAGAGCATAAATACATCTCTAACTCAGGAATCACAAAAGGATCAGTGAAGAAGGTGTGAGGATTACAAACAATTCTGAAAATTTCATTTTTAAAGAGGCAAGGCTGTGGATGATAGGTTGAGTTTTTCAAAAATCAAAGGACACTGATAAAAACTCATCCCTTGCTAGCTAATACAAGGGCCAAAACTTGTAGCTTAGTTCAAAAGAGCCTCATGTTTTAATGCTTTTTTCTTGTTACATTTTCCGCATGATCTGTGACTATACGCTGGAACTTTTTTTAGCCTCAGTTTCTGAATCTTGATTTTTCACAACCAATTAATTGAGTATCAGGGACATAGCTTTTGATACAAACTCCTGCTGCTAGACATCTGGGTCACACAAAGATAAATTTCAAACTCTGCCCTGCCGATGACCAAGTACCAGTGGGTTACTCACTCTGATCGCGCGAGCTGATAACCTCGACAGAAAACATCTTGCTCTCTAGAGAGTGCTATAGCTCCCTGTGCACCTGGAGTACAGGCAACACAGAAGTAACAAGGTAGGCTGATGCAGGGGAATGAACCGGAACATTCAGAGGCAACTCAGGAAGTCACAGCAAGCAAAGGATGGAAACACTAACGGTGAGTAAACTCAGTACAAGATGGTAAGCAGACAGCCACACACCTCCCCTCCTTTGTGTTTGAACGTCTGCTCTATGGCAGGCACTGGATTCAGGACAAATCCCTGCCCTTACAGAACTTACAGGAAGTGCAGAAAACAGGTAACAAATAAACAAGTTACAGCAAACAAAACAGAGCCGGCTGTAGCAGTGTTCTATCCAGGCACATTCATGTGGAGACATCCTATACTTCTGATCACTCCTTAGTAGAAGTATGTGAAGCAATTAACAAGATAAACAATTTTTCTCCAGACTAGAGCCCCCACAGTGCAGCGCACACTTACAGTCAGGGTAAAGTCGTAACAGTCAGGGAGCTCCTGGTGACGAACTGTCTGCAGATTGATGGCCTTCAATTTAAACTGAAGCTCCACTGTCAGGAGCCTAGAAAACACAGGAGGCTTTAGTGGGTGGAAACACACACACACACACACACACACACACACACACACATGCAAAGTTATGCTCCCCCCTGCTCCCCTCACCTGTGGAAGTCCAGTGTTAAATTGAGTTTATTTTCTTCTGGTGTTCCAATATGAAATGATTCATCCGGCTCCACAAAAAAACATTCTGCCAAGGAAAGAAAAAAGCATGATACACTGTCTAAAATGCAGAAGTAAAACTTCATTTTGAAAGGAAATTCATAGATCAGTTATTCAGACTCCGCTATTTTTCTCAATTAAGATTTTAGAAGCTATTCATCAATATGACTTGGTTAAAGCACCTTACGAAAGCACCTTACACCTTAAAGCACCTTATATTTTCAAGACCTACAACAGACTACACATTTCTGGAGTGCTTGGGGGCTAGAGAAAGGCCTGAACTCTGTCTCATTAGGTTCCTATAAAATCCCACCTTCCTTCCTGCTTCTGTAATCTTAGATCAACTCTGAATTCTTCCCCCTCCTGCCTTTATATGCTCAGTGGAGGACTTCAAGAATTCATAGTGCCCGATTTTCTAAGTAATTTAGAGCAGAGGTCACCACTTGCCTCAAGGGGCGGGACGTGGGGCACAGACCTGTATAGTTCCAAGGCCTTTTAGGAAAGGGGTTGGGGGAACAGCAGGAGGTAAGCAGCAGGCAGGTGAGCCAGTGAATCTTCATCTGTATTTACAGCCCTCTAATGCATTTGAATTCCTCTCCCACCTCCACCCCTACCCCATCCATGAAAAATTGTCTTCCATGAAACCAATCCTCAGCCAGGCATGGTGGCACACATCTGTAATCCCAGTGCTCGGGAGGCTGAGGCAGGAGGATTGAGACCAGCCTGGGCTACAAAGTGAGCTCAAGGCCAGGCTGAACAGTATAGCGAGACCTTGTCTCAAAAAGACAAAAAAAAGAAAGAAACCAACCCTTTGTACCAAAAATGTGGGGGCTGATGGTAAAGGATCTATTTTTTAAATATTTTATATATTGACATTTTCCCTTCATATAGAACTTTAAGAAAAGGAAGGCAGCATTTTAGAAAATTTTTGCTAGTTGGTACTGTTATCCTTTACTCTCAATATAATAAATTATTCTTAAGCATGTTTCAAAAGCTTAATATCCATCTGTCCAACACTATTACCTATAGGCAGTTCCCTGGGAGAGGCAATAGAGTATATGGCTAAGCTTACGACTGCCTCTTACGACTTCATACTAAGTAGGTCAGTTGGCTGGCTGAGCTGCACTTCAGTCTTCTAGGAAATATATCATAATAAACCTTGCCTTATCTAGGTTTCTTTGAGGCTTCCCGAGTTACAGTAAAGGACTTAGAACAGTAGCTGACGCATAAGAACTTCTATATAGTTTTTACTCTGCCCTAACAGCACAGATCATAGCAATGTTTTCAGAGACAAATTTGCTGATTTTAAGTGTAAATCAAGGCATTAAAAACTAAAGCTCTAGCATATAGGACATTACCTGTTTCAATTTCTGGATCAATGTCAAAGGTGTCATTTCCAGGGCAGATGTTTCCTCGCTTGTAGAAGTGCTGGCAGATTGCCATAGCGGACTGTTTGGTACCCTTGTTCTCATATGCATGATTCCCAACAGAGACGTTGCGAAGCTGCAGGTACTTCGACCACAGAGGGAAGCAGGAATGTCAGCTGGGGCGGAATGAAGCCAGGCCGTCCCTACCTCCCCACCCCTGACGCTGGTGGGTGCCCACCTCCCCACAGCGTGGAGATATCCAGGTTGAGTGTAGAGGGTGACTTGCTCTTGAGCACGAGGAAGGGAGGGCAAAGAGTGCTCTTGAATTAGAGTTCGAGGTTCAAAACTCATCCCAGGCACAAATTCTCTGAGTTATTGGCTCCTTATCTACAAAACTAACGTCTAAAGTGGCATAATCTTTGAGATTCTTTCCTTCTTTAAAGAACAGTGTTCAGGGATTGATTTGTACATTCAGTGTGAATACACATTTTGTCATTGAACTACTTCCTGCAGGGCAAGTCAGAATTCTTTACTGCTATCACTTAAGAAGTGGGATACGCTTGTCCCAAACAGACCATTAAAATCTTTTCTTCAAAAATATTTATCTAATCTTTATTTGGACAAAAACACATGTAATCACATTTGCAGAAATATTTTTCTTGTTCTAGTTACTCTTCTAAATAGCATAAAATGTTACTTTTATAAATGAAAATCTTATTGCACTTTGGAATAACTGTCCATGTAAACTCAATGATTTCCATAGATGATTCATAGTTTACAGTGAACAGTGTGTCTGCACAATTGATCATATGAAAATAAGGAATGATATCTGTCTCTGTTGGAATTAGCACTTTTGTACCATGGACACAGAAAAGCAATTCTGCTAAATATGCATGTGAAAGAGGCTCTGATAAATGAAAGAAATAATTTATGATCTGGGTCTATAGGATGGATTCTGAGCAGGCTTTGTCAAGGTTGTCAATGAGCAGCATGTTACTAAGTGTCATGTTTATTCTAAACCCTTATCTAACTTAACTTCACCATCTTTGATGCAGTTGTGTTTCTCCCTGATTTCCTCCTCCCCTTCACCCTTCCCCCCTCCTCCTCTTCTTCTTCTTCCCTATCCCCCTCTCCTTCCCCTTCCCCTGCTCCTTCCCCTTCCGCTTCTCCTTTTCCTTCTTCTTCTTCTGACTTCTGGGCCACAGGCTGCTTCCTCTTGGTCTCCTTTTTGAATCCTCCCCTGTCATTCTCTGCCTTGGAGTCCCCTCGGATTCAGCCTACAGCCTCTGTATCTGCTCTCTTCAAAAATGACTTCAACCATTCTCATGTGTTAAACACTATCTACACACTGAAGACTTCCAAATTTACACCCCCAGCCTTGATCTCTCCATCAAATACCATCCACTGGTAGCACTCTGCCTACATGATGCCTGTGGTATCTAAGGAGGATTTCACACCTAAATGTGCAACAGAAAAGTCTACTTCTCCACAATAATTCCCTTCTCCATAAGTCAATCAGTCATTGAGGACCAATCTTAGGCAAGGTCCTTCAGACTCCTTTTCTCATATTTCACTTCCAGTCTACCAGAAAGTCATGTGTTGCTTTCAGTTACATCCTGTGGGACTCATCTAAAGCTCTGTGCCATCTCACCACAATCTGGCCGACTCTTACCACTTTCCCTGGTGCTACTGCCCTAGTCCAACCACCACCATTTCTCCCCTGGACAAGTTAAGCCTCTTCACTTCCTGTTTCCAGTTCTCCTTCTCTTGCTAGTCCAGTATCCATTGAGAACTCAGGAATGAGTGAATTAATGGATGTGAAACCCTTAGAAGACTGATACCCAATACACTACAAGAAGCTATGCTTACTGTATAATACAGTACAAGAACCAACACTCCTAGGCTTACTGTACCTTCTCCCAGATCCTGCCCCAACTGTTATCTCTTCTCTGCTCCTCTGGCACCTCACCAAACAGGCCTGCTGCGGCCACCCCAGGTGTTCATTCAGCCTGCTGTGTTTTGCCCCTTTAGTACTTATAACTGACAGATGGTGTTCAGTGCCTGTCTCTTCCTATTATAATATGACCTTTTTGACTTTGTCTATTTGCTTACTGCAGTATCCCTCCTCCAGACAAGTACCTGATATATCATAGACACCAAATAAATATTTGAACAAATACCTCTTAGCTTTGGTCTACATATAATAGACTCTCTGCTCTATCAAGACCTCCTGTGGCTTCCTGGCCCCCTCAGCAAAGACGCAAAGCCCTTTTCTAAGTCCTGCAAAGCCCGGACAGGCTGGGCCCTGGCCCCTCTCCGCCTTTCCTCTCACTGACTCCCACTTGCACTCCCACCCTTCATTTCCTCAAATGCACCAACTGTTTCTGCCCTAGACCTTTGCTGCTAGTTCTTCTTTCACCTGGAATATTCTTCCTCGGATTGCAAATCCTCAGAACAGCCTTTTCTCACCACCCAGAGCCCACTGCCACTGCCTTATGCTACTTCATATTATTGCACAGCACACATCACTACCTTAACTCAAATGATTTTAGTCAAATTGTTTAAAATCTCTCCCTCCCATTAGAATGCAAACTCCACAGGGAAGGGAATTTATCTAGTCCGGTGCTTCAGTGCCAGCACTTTGGGGCCATGGTAAGTGCTCAAGCATTTGTCAAACTGATGGCAAGGTGAAAAATCATCCTACTGTGATGGCAGCTCTCAGTCACAGTTATTTATGCACCACGAGTTAGTAAATTTCATAGATAAGATACCTGGTTACAGCCCCAAGCTTTCTCTTAGCATTGGGATTAGGAAAGTGAGCCAGAAGTCTGCAGTAATAGAAGCAAACTGCACATTTCACTACAGAGTACTACGCTCCACATGTCCGAAGAGATAGTGTGATGCTGAGATATTGAGGGTTTTGGGTTTTGTTTCCAGCACAGACACAGTATACCTGGAACGTGGGGCAGAGTGGGAGGTAACTCTAGAAAGTTACAGTCAGATCTGTGATGGGTTCTAGGTATGTGTGGGGTCATCCCCACAAGAGTCCCCTGAACCTCGGAACTTCTTGACCACAGAATCCTGTGTCTTGAGTCTTTTCAGGTCTCAAAATGCAAGAGATCTGAAGCCCAGGGCTTGAGATTATAAATTATGTGACAGTGTGACAGCCAGACTCCCTGGCTGTCTAAGGCTCTCTGTGGAGGTCTGAGCAGTGGGCAAGAACTGGATGGTCCAGGGGCAAGTGGCAGGGCTGCAGCCAGCCGGTGGGCCACACTAGAAACCAAGCCAGAGGATTCTGGAAAGGAATGTGGGGTGAGATGCTGGCTGGAAGTCAGTAGATATAGGGGGTCATTGGGAAGGCTGCACAGGGCATGTGAGGGACCATGGCCTCTGCAGGGCTGAATCGGGTAACACATACCTCTTCTGGCCCTGGCAGCTCTGCCTTAAGAAGAGATTTTCACTCAGATCAAAGGTCCCAAGTCAAACTTCAGGTAATAACAGAAAAACAAAATTAAAGGTCCTTAGCTGAGTGATTGGCACCACAATTAAAGCAAATGAAAACTGGTTGCTCCCTAATTACATGTTGCTTTTTCATGGCCCCTCTGTGATTGCTTGATCCTAATAAATGTCATGAAGCTTTTGAGCCTATTCACAGACAGCTGTGTGCCTGTTTTATAGCTCCACTTTCACAAACCAAACACATCAAACGCTGTGCTGCTCTACAGTGTTTGATGGAGATATAGATGGAGGTGTAGGTAAATGTCCACAGGTAGCTATGAGAAATGTTGTACCTCAAGATCTGTGCTTCTAGGTGAATTCACTGGAAAACAACCAAGAGGTGGTAAAGCAGGAGGGTGAGGAAAAGAGAAAACCAATCAGACGGAAAAATTTATGCACCATGTTTGCGCTACAAGAGTAAATGATTCCAAGAAAACCCTGAGGCCTTTAAACCCAAGCAATAGACCAGAAAGAGCAACCAGTCTGGGCAGCAGGCTGGAAGAGACAGTGAAGCTTCTTTGGACAGGGTGACTCTTTCCTGCAGCTACGCAGTAGTGTGAGTAACTGTTTGAGAGTCACGTCATCCTGGTGATGACCAAGGCTGGATAGTGCGGCAAACTCCTTCAGGAAAAGGAAAAATCTCTGAGAATTATCCCAACAAAGAAAAGAAGACAGCAAAGATGACCCGAAAAGGATGGAGGAAATAAGATGAAAACCAAGATATAATACAATGAAGTAACTCTTTGACGCTCAAATTTAGAAGAATATACTATAAGCAAAATGTGTTGCAATCACTGTATTTGACCATGTGAGGACACAGAAGACTCAAGACATGGAGCCTGTAGCCTCCTTGACCTTAAACTTTCCAGCCTCTAGGACTGTGAGAAATAAATTTCTGTTATTTATAAATTATCTAGACGCTGGCATTTTATTATAGCAGTGAAAAAAAAAGACAACTAGGACAATGAATCTATATGGATTTCTACATGCAAAGGTCATGGAAATCTGTTAAGCAGAATGAGCCAATACCAGACACTATATTTTAAAGACTGAGTTTAGGCCGAATGAATTTTATGGCCTGTTCACCTCTTACCTCCACTTTCTACACCCAGAAAACAAAAACCAAACTAGCAATTTGGTCTCTATAAAGAAACATATACACTTAATGCAAAAATCTCACAATTGAGTATCTCCAGCACTAAGCCATTTCCCCCTATAAATTCCAGGCCATAATTCTGTTTAACAACTTATGAAGCTTATACCTATTACTGATTTTCTGTTTTCCCAATGCTAACTAAAAACTTAGTGCTCTAAGGACATACTGTATCGAGGTAATTTGCCATCTCACTGTATAGACTGTCTCTGGAAAATGAAGCATCACGACTGCACTATGATCATTCTTTGAAGCAGAGTTGAATGATTAGGAAATGGGGTCTGTAAACAAAACCCACACTGAAATACTGACTTCAAGATCACTTTCCGTGAAATGAATACAATACTAAATTTGGGATTTTGTCAAAGTACCATTTACAAAAATTCACTGATTAGAAACTCAGACTAGAAATAGGACTCATCTGTATGGAAAATAAGCTTACTTTTTGTCGGCAGTTAGAGTCACAATAAAATCACTGTCATGTATAGTGACACAAAAGCTTTACTCACTTTTAAATGAACTTTCAATTCTTGGTTGCTATACAAACTGTAAAGTTAATGTTGTAATTATTTGTTAAAAGTCTCTGAAATTATAACAATGGAAGACTTAATAACTACTAACATCCTGGGCCACGGTTAGTAATTTTAAATCTTTGAGGCTGTGATATGAAGGCCTCAGTCTGTTTCTTTCAATTAAGTTATCAAAGTTTCTATCTCTCAGTATGAAATAAAAGCTTCTCTCAATTTCTAGTTCTCTAAAAGTTTGCTGGCAATATTTTTAGGAAAAATTTAAAGACAGTGTGATGCCTAGGTCATTTCCAAGCAGAATTGTTCGCCCTTCTACACTTAAGTGTCAGTTTCTATAGCAGTGCACTGCTACTGCTTTTTCAGTCGTTCTTCCTCCCAAGAAAGGATAGGCTTGATTTACCTGGTTCACTGCAAAGATGATCTGATCGTATACATCACTTTGTGTATACACTGCATACGTGTCGTCCATGCGGTCCATGTATCCTTTGAGGAAGAGATGTTTGAATGCTATAGTGTTCTCTTCCTTGAAAGCTACCACCATCTGGTTACTTAGTCCAAAAAGAACCAGCTTAAAAGAAGAGGAGAAATGGTAAAAAAAAAAAAAAAAAATGTGAACAATCTGTACCAAAAAAGTAGAGGCAAGTGGTGCAGGGGCTTGAATGGCAAGACGAGTTTACAGTGAATTCCAGAAGATTATCAAGAAGGCCCGAGCCTGATTGATAACATATCATAAGAAAGTACAAGTCCTTTGACCAAACTATACTTATTCCTAGGCCTCACTACCAAACTTATGACAATAAGATCAAAACTAGAAAAAAAAATCTTTTCAATTTATCTCTCACTTAAGTTATACTAACATATAATTTTTTTTGCCTTTTTGAGACAAGGTCTCACTATGCAGTTCAGGCTGGCCTTGAGCTCACTTTGTAGCCCAGGCTGGCCTCGAACTCACAATGATCCTTCTGCCTCAGCCTTATATTAACATAATGTGTCCTTAATACTCAGCTACGATTGAACCCAGAGTTTTATATGAAACTTAATCGTTTGCACAGAAAAAGCTTGCTTCACTGCACTGCTGTCATGGTGACATAAACTTTTCTAATCACACCCAAAAGCTTGCTGTCATGGTTCAGATCTAAAATGTCCCCCAAAAGGCTCATATAGTCAGAGATGGGACTTTCGGAAGGTGATTGGATTAGGATGACTCGAACTTCATATTTTGATGGCATTGCTGGGAGGTAGTGGAAACTTACAAGGTGCCTAGTGGAAGGGGATAGATCATACGGCATGACCTTGAGACTTTATCTTGCCTCTAGCCCCTTCTTCTCCGGCTTTCTCACCCACTCTGCTTCCTGGCTGCCATGAGGCCAACTTTTCCTTCAACTTACCCTTCCGCCATGATGTTTCCGCCTTACCACTGGCCTAAAATCAATGCAGCCAGTTCACCATGGACCGGATCCTCTGAAGGCATGATCCAAAATAAATCTTTCCTCTTTTAAGTTATTTTTCCCAGGTATTTTGTCACAAAAACAAAAAGCTGATTTGATTTACTCCAAGTCTCTCCCCCTCCTTCCATGTGTATGTGTGTAAGTATAGACCGCAGGGTGAGGCGGGCCATATTTTATATGAAAGGGGAAAAACACTGAGCGTATATTCCCTTACACTATTCTAGAGACCTTCCTTATCGTATTTAATTCCACAGCGTAATTCCAAATGTAATAATTTTGCAGGGAGTACATCAAAGTTCAGAAAACTTAGATAATTTTTGTCAACTCACATCACTAGCAAGCATATAGTCAAAACTGAAAATTGTGTCTGACAGACTAAATTTAAATTCTATCTGTTCTGTCATGTACACAAGCAATCCAGAGTCTGACGGGACCCCTTCCCCTCCCCCTGTGATGTATGACCCAACCCATACATCCTAAGTCCACCTAACTCCACTCCCATTTCTAAAAAGACTTTTAAAGCCAAGTACCTTCACTGAAATCACTGTAAGATAAAAGCTTGGTAGTCAGGGATTTTCTATCTCTTAAAGCCAATGACTGAGAAAATCTTCAAAGATTTCCTGAAGGTACTCCTATCAATTCATTCAAGCATGTGAATACCTTCCACTTGCCAGCATTGAGCTAGGTACTGAGGATAAAATGAGAAGACAGCTGATCCTCATCCTCAAGGGCTGAAGACAGACCGCAGCAAGAGTGGCTGAAAGAATTGCTATAATTCATAGACTGAGCCAGCAGTGGGAACAGGGAAGATTTTACTAGGGTTCCTATCGTTTTGAACACAGAATCTCCAATTTAACAGAAAGTTTCCTTTTTCCTGAAAAGAGGTAATCTGTCTCTAAGTTGCTCTCATTTGCTCAATGATGAAGTTGCCTTTATGTGATTTGTTTGATTGCTCAGATACAGAATAAAGAAACATCATAATAAGGAAATTCTTGGTGCCTTTTTATAACTTATCGAAGCAGCTTTTCCATTCTTATTACCAACCGGCTTAAACTACTGGCCAATTTTCCTTTTGCCTGCCCTAGTAAATATATGAAAGTTAGATGAACTTCCCAGATGAAAGAGTATTAACAGCATAGGCCTTAGAGGGTAGAAATCTGAGTTTGAATCTCAGTCCCACTCTTCTGTTATAGTCAGGAAACTACCAAATGTCAGTGTTCCTGTCTGTGAAACAGAGATACCACTATCTATATCCAATTCGTCTAGAGAATCGAACAAGATGATGTCTATACAATGTTTGCTATGACATACATTCAAGTGGTACCAATTGTTACTCTGAGTAAAAAAAAGTTCCCATTTAGATGATAGGGGCTTTCAAAGTCTTCATTCTATAGCTTTAAAAAAAAATCTATAAATATCAACTTTTTCATCTATAAAATGAGAGAAGCTATCATTTACCTGATAAGAACGTTGTTTCAATTAAATGAAATAATGTACTGGAACAGAACAGTCACCCAAATGTTAATTTCCCTTAATATAATATCTAGTATCAGAAACTTAAGCAAGAATTCTACTAATCTAATATGATTGTAGAAATTGCCTAAGCTAGGGCCGGGGATATGGCTCAACGGCACAAGCACCTGCCTGGCAAGCGCAAAGTCCTGAGTTCGATTCCCGGTATAGAAAAAAAAGAAATTGCCTTAGCTCCTACCAGTCATAAGCACTTGCTCTCAATAAGCAATTCAGATTAGTAATGTCAGGATATAAAAAAAAATTCTCTTTCAATACTCATTTATTCACTTGAATTTTTTTACCAAAAGATAATAAAATAAAAAGTAATAATTAAGTAATAATAAAATAATAAAAAATAAATAAACCTATGATAGCTACTTTCATCATTAGAAACTTTTATTTTTGTTCTGCTTTTAACAAGAGCTATGACTCTTCCCAGCAGGAAAAATCATTTCATAAAAATAAATCACAGCCCGTATAGGGAAGAATCACAAAATATGGTTTCCCCTCCAAAATTTAAAAGAAGCCAAGGAAATTTTCCTTTCCTGAAAACTAATTAGACTATGTGACTAAAATTACAAGGTAATGAAAGATGAGCAGGAAAAAAATAAAAAATAAAAAAAGCAAAAGCTTCCACAAATGAGAAGGGTTAACACTGTGTTTACTTGTTTTTCTCTACTATGCAAGCACTTAAAAAAAAAAACACAGTTTTCTTTTTAAAAAAACTGTCCATTATTCTCTTTGTTTTTAAAGAGGCTTTCACCAAACTCATGCTTGGAGCTGCTTACCTGGACAGTCACTGTGGCAATTTTCAGAATTTGTATGGCAAGTTTCCATGGCTTTCTGCCTCGGGCCCAGAACTTCTCACAAGGATTCATGAAAAAAAACTTGAGTTTTCTCCTCATCTGGTCTTCTAATAGAAGCTCCTCAGACGGAGATGCACTCTGGTTAAAAGTGCAGCGATTTTCCTCTTCGTGAGAGCTACAGCTACTTATCACTACCTCAGCGGTTGCATTTGCCATGTCTAGGAAAGAAAAAAAGGCCCATCACTCCCACTCAGCAGGTAAAGGCACAAGCCCATACTGCTTGCTCTTCCAGAACTGTGCCAGAAAGGGACCAGACAAAAGAACTGGTGTCAAATGCGCCAGTGTCCTAAATTGAGCTTGAGGCACTCACAGAATCAACTGAAATGTAAGTTATCATGTTGTCTCGGTTTCAATTACTGAATGAATTCTCACCTATTTGAAAGTTACTAAATTCAAGGGCTGCTCCTACTAGTAAAAGATTATGTGTAATAAATATGTATATATATACTACGTACAGGCTTTCTGCCTCATTGAGTAACAAAGAGCAAAGATTAGAGATCTGAGAGCCTGGATAAAAACGTCAGAGAGTTGGTAGACCCTGAAATTATATGCAAAACTTTGCAAATATGAGAGTACGGCCCTTTCTTCCCAGGGGAGAAACTAAAACTTTCATCAGATTATTAAAAAAAAAAAAAAGTTTAAAGACACAGTTGATGGCAATAGCGGCTCTTTAAAAACAAGATATAAGTTTGTTTCTAATTCTTTTTCCACCAGAGGAAAGTCACTCAGCCACCGTGGGCCTCAGTTTCTTCTCATGCAAAATGCAACTAATATTTACCCACTTATTCTTACAGGGAGCATGAAATAAAAACGCACGAGCTCTTTTTCTGAGCCTAGCACTAAGCAGGGGACCTCGTTCCTTTCCACCCCCAAAAGACACAGCAGCTTTCTAACAGCCAGCAAAGTCCTTTGGGGCAGTGTGAGACTCTGGGAACGGAAAGATCTATCCACAAAGGGAAAGGCAGGCACTGGACTGCAGTCCAGTTCCCCACCAGCCGCAGCAGTTCCAGGTGCTTTTCATAGAAGGCCTTGTGTTTATGGAGCACACTGTACTTTTCAAATTCTTGATATCTATTGTATCTTTTGTCTCTCTGAAAAGGATGGGGCAGCTTTTTCAAACTGACAAAATGTCATTCTACAGTCTGGGACCTATCTTGGGTTATCCTTGATACTAATATTGACACTATGGAAACCTGTTCAAAGTAAAATAACCCAAACCACCAAGAGAGTAGAGTCCTTCCATATACACTAGAAAGCCAGGCTTGAGTTCGATATTTTTATGATAACTTTTACTCTGCAATGAGCGGGGAAGAATTTTATCTACATTCATAAAATACCTGACTAGTCACTGTTTAGGTACCACACTGCGTTCCAAGTCTAGAAATCCATGTTTGATTTCCACTCCAACATTCTTAGCAAACCTACCAAATGTTGATATTGGCTATAAAAACTAGCCATGGAGAACATGTTTAAACTCCTGATTAATGAAAAGATTAATAAAGATATGGCTGAGCAGATAAGGCATAAAACATATTTAGTCTAGAGCATACATAATGTCTTCAAAATGAAATACTTATGACAGAACTTATTTAAATGTGCCTCATATGTTTGTGTGTTAAAGTGCCTATATGCTAAGTCTTGGGTAAAGACAAAACAACTTGATAAAAAAGTTATTAATTCCTTAGGATTTTCAAGAACATTTTATTTCCTTCTTCAAAAAGGTAGGCTGTTTTAGCTAGCATTTAAGTAGACCTTCTCCATGGGATTCAAAATGGAGGTAAAGCCAGGCGTGGTGGCACACGCCTGTGATCCCAGCATTCAGGAGGCTGAAGCAGGAGGATCGTTGAGTATTCAAGATCAGCCTGGGCTATAAAGTGAGCTCAAGGCCAGCCTGAACTGCACAGCGAGATCTTGTCTCAAAAAGACAAAAAAAAAAAAAAAAA